TTTCGAGTCTTAGTCTTAATTTACAGCAGATTTTAACATAACCTATGGCCAATACATTATGTCAATGAAGCAACAAAGATGTTACTCATCACATAGAAATTAAAATTATTTTATCATAGAACAAATTTTTCTACACATGCCACTACTTCATCACAAGAGGAAAGAGCAACCAAAACTACTCACTAAGCATGGAGAAAACACATGGATTCTTCATTGCAAATGACATTGAAATCATACAACTATATTGCAATAACTCAAAGCAAATACAAAAATAGTACAAAACTTATCTTTACAGAAGATTCACACCCTCCTTGTACAGCAAATAATAATCCTTTATGCTTCCCTCTAAAGTCCCAAAGGTCACCAAGACTCCAAAAGACACTTCCTCCCTTACACACACATGCACACACCACCCACAAATTCACTCTCACTCACTCTCCCCTCCTTTCTTACTCTCTTTCTCATCTTTAAAGAGACACCAAGACTCATTTAATATAATCCTCAAAATCTCTAAGAGTCACTTCAGATGCCCCTTCAAAATTCGTCCAAATTCATTGAATTTTAAGAAAAATTGATTCTGGTGCCTAGGCGCCAGCCATCTAGAAGCTTGAAATAACTGCCCAACGCCTAAGCACCAGATACTTAAGCCATGAAGTCGGGCTCTCTGTTTTCATGTACGGGGTCTGACACTTAGGCGCCATAAGTTGACGCCTAGGAGCCAATTCACTTTTTGCTTCCTTGCTCTAATGACCACAGTTTGCTCCATTCTCGCTCATTTTTATTCAAAACTCTATGTCTTGTACCTGAAAATAAAAAACATGCAAAATGTCATATTTTATTTCTACACATGCCACTACTTCATCACAAGAGGAAAGAGCAACCAAAACTACTCACTAAGCATGGAGAAAACACATGGATTCCTTATTGCAAATGACATTGAAATCATACAACTATATTGCAATAATTCAAAGCAAATACAAAAATAGTACAAAACTTATCTTTACAGAAGATTCACACCCTCCTTGTACAACAAATAACAATTCCTTATGCTTCTCTCTAAAGTCCCAAAGGTCACCAAGACTCCAAAAGACACTTCCTCCCTTACACACACATGCACACACCACCCACAAATTCACTCTCACACACTCCCCCCTCCTTTCTTATTCTCTTTCTCATCTTTAAAGAGACACCAAGCCTCATTTAATATAATCCTCAAAATCCCTAAGAGTCACTTCAGATGCCCCTTCAAAATTCGTCCAAATTCATTGAATTTTAAGAAAAATTGATTCTGGTGCCTAGGCGCCAGCCATCTAGAAGCTTGAAATAACTGCCCAACGCCTAAGCACCAGATACTTAAGCCATGAAGCCGGGCTCTCTCTTTTCATGTACGGGGTCTGACACTTAGGCGCCATAAGTTGACGCCTAAGATCCAATTCACTTTTTGCTTCTTTGCTCCATTGACCACGGTTTGCTCCATTCTCGTTCATTTTTATTCAAAACTCTATTTCTTGTACCTGAAAATAAAAAACATGCAAAATGTCACTCGCTGCTCCACTTGTATATTTTCCAAACTTTGAATCAATCTTCAAACGATTTACAATCTTTAAGCTAAATTCACAGCCCTAATTAGGGAAATAAAACTAAAAGATAAAATTATCCCTAATTAAAAAATGTTATAAATATTACAATCTCCAACTCATCTCTTACTTCCAGATAAGTAAGAGATGATCAAACGAGCAATAAACTCCAATTCAGCTGCATCAAGATGGTTACCTACTTACGCCCTCTCCTAATGGGATTAAGCCTCGCCTAGTTCTTCAAAATACCAAACTGGAGCAATCAATCTTGAGCTCAGTTTTTCACCCAACTCCTGCATTATTTGAACTTATGGACTGATTGTACCTTCGTGAGCATGTTTGTAGGATTTTCTTTTGTATCTACTTTTTCCAATAGAACATTGTCATCATCAATTAAATCTCAAACAAAGTGGTACCTCACATCAATGTGCTTGGTATGAGCATGATGAAATGGAATTATGACCAATAATATTAAAGTCTAGCTGTCACATAGTGTCATCAAAGATTTCCGATCAACTTCCAAGTCATCCAATAGGCCATGCATCCATATATATGTACTCTTTCTATCACATATATACTCCAATTTTTCAATGAAGTGTTAAACTTTGCATCCGCATGAAATATGAGTTCAAGTATTTCAGATGATTCTAGAGTTATGTGCTGCAACCATGGCATGCAATGTCTTGAGTATACGTCAATAGGAGAAGCTAGCTAGCTATCAAAGGAGATTCTATAGGTTTCCTAGAAATAAAATGCGAACACTTGACGACTGCAAAATTTTTAGGTTGGTTGATGATGGTGAGGAACTTTAGATTAAGATCATGTCTAGAGAGAAACTCCAATAAAAAAAAACATTCTTCAAAGATTTGATCATTTAGACATGAAGAATAATGTTCTAATAACACTACTTATTGTGATTATAATTTTTATTATCATATCATGTGCTAAGTGATGTATGTATCACACTTGATGCTGTGTAATAATGGACTTCTTAACTTGTTTTAAATATTGAAATTTTGTTTTTTTTTTTCCTTTTACTTGAATTATTCTTACAACTAATATGTATATAAAGGCATGACAATCTTTTTTTTGAAAAGCAATTTCAGCACGGTAAGCACTGATTTTTTTTCCTAATAGCAGCCTTTTCTAAAAATACTTTCACAACTGTCTGTAGCTGTCCCAATCAGATCATAATTTATATGGTGTTTGTCAAATTATTTGAGTAGAATTAGCGAAACGTAAGCGCAAAATAAAGGATAATTTAATGTCAAGCTGACGCCAATTCATATCCATTTTTTTATATAATAATTGTTATTGAATTAGACTTAGTAAAGTTTTTTCATGTATTTTTCATAAAAGAACAGTTATTTGATTATTGTATTATTATATTATATTATTATTCGAAGTGGACACACCACTTCATCAGCTGACTTTTCACATGCATAAATTAAAATACTAATATATTTTAGTGCTTTAGTGTTGTCAAAAAGGCGAGGTCAAAATATGGATGGACATGGCATGCAATCAAAATTTAATATAGAGCTATGTTCGGAGTCTGCTCATATTCCGACACATGAGTTGATAAAAAAATAAAAAAATAGATCGTTTTAGCTCAGAGGAATATACTTCCTGTGTTATTCCGCATTATTCAGGTGTTATCGTGGTGGTATTCATGCGTTATTGTGTTTTGGGAATATTTCTGATGTTATAATAACACAATAACACCTGCATAATAAGAAATAACACAGTAAGAATATTCTCTTGTGTTATTGAGTCATATCACAGGAAAACGCGTGCATTTTCTTGAAGTCACGTGTCTACATATGAGTGGACTACGAACATAGCTCTACGTTAGGAATCCTGTCATAATATTTTTACTATCTTGTAGTGCAAATGAAGATTTTGGTCCGTGACATTCGGAGTCTGCTCATATGCCGACACATGAAGTTGATAAAAAAATAAAAAAAAATAGATTGTTTTAGCTCAGAGGAATATATTTCCCGTATTATTCCACATTATTCAGGTGTTATCGTGGTAGTATTCATGCGTTAATGTGTTTTGGGAATATTCCTGATGTTATAATAACACAATAACACCTGCATAATAATGAATAACACAGTAGGAATATTCTCTTGTGTTATTGAGTCGGATCACAGGAAAACGCGTGCATTTTCTTGAAGTCACGTGTCCGCATATGAGTGGACTCCGAACATAGCTCTACGTTAGGAGTCCTGTCGGAGTCCTGTCGTAATATTTTTACGATCTTGTAGTGCAAATGAAGATTTTGGTCCGTGACATTCTCTTCCACTCAAACACGTGATGCCCTCGTCACTGATGCCCTCGTCACGGATCGGCGGATCGGCTCCACCGAGCGTCCCACTGGCACATGGAGAGTCCGCACACCTGGCAGACAGTAATCTGCTCTGATACTACTTGTCACATCCCAAAATCCCAAAAAAGCTCTTTTGGGTGGTGGATAACCCAAAACTTAAATACCGCGGCCCTACATCTAGCCGACTATCACTCATTTTGATGTTGCCCTTGTCCTTGATATTCTGCTCTCAACTTCAAATAAAAAAAAAATAAAGAAAGAGCTCAAAGCAATGCGTCGAACACAAGCCTTAAAAGCTCACTAAATTGTCGGTGGATTGTTTAATCGACTTATTCATGAGCCTGGGTTTTATACTATTTAAATTTGTTAAATTTTTAATCAGGTTTATAAGATAAAAAATACTTTCTAGATTTATTTAAAACCATTTTTTTGTTCCAGTCATAAATAATTTTAAGCAAGCTTAATTATAACTTTAAACTAGTAAAGAGTTGCCTGCTTCGTTTTGTAGGGGCTATTTATTGAATATAAACAAGCATTTAATGATGCAGCCTGCACTCAAAATTTGGCCATTTTATATTTCGAGCTTTAAAAATTTTCAAATTTAATTAATCATTTAAATATATCAGAAACTTAAATTAAAATATATTTTTTAAATTATATGCTATAAATTCTGTACTGTTGAAGGGAACTCTAAGTAGCAGCAGGTACGGTTTTCAATTTCTCGCATCTTTTTCTTTTCTTTTCGACTTCACTTAATCTTCAGCAAGCCATCACACAAAATATATATGAACTAATTTCAAACATATGAGTAGACGGATAACTATGTATCGTTTTTAACATAACCGTGCAGATTGTGCAGGCGAGTTTTATCAAAAGGAGTTTATAGCCATGAATGTTGAGCAGGTTTTTCCAATGATGGGAGGTGACGGAGAGAACAGCTACGCTAAAAACTCCAGGGTTCCAGTATATATGCCCTTTGATTTATCTGCTACTATATTTCATATACTTAATTTTTTGTCTTTATAATAGTTCTATTATGAATGTTAAATGTTTCATCATAAGCTGATCAGTTATTGAGTTGTTTGATAATTGAAAGTGCTGTTTAATTTGTGCGAATGATTATATTTTCATCAACTTACTTTCAAGTGATTGTTAGGAGAAGGCAGTGATTATGACAAAACCATTAATGGAAGAAGCCGTAAGAGAAATATGTAAAAGTCTCCCAGAAAAGCTTGTTGCGGCCGACTTAGGATGCTCCTCTGGTCCCAACACATTACTTGTGCTCTCTCAGATCACCAATGCTGTGGATGAGCATTGCTGTAGCTTGAGCCAGCAAAAGCCTGAGATCCAATTTTTTCTTAATGATCTTCCTAGCAATGACTTCAACAATATGTTCCAATTGTCAGTGCAGCATCAGAAGAAAATTAGAGAAGAGAAAGGGGATGCGTATGTGCCATTCTATGTTGTTGGATCGCCAGGTTCGTTTTATGGCAGGTTATTTCCTTCAAAGAGTATCCACCTTTTCCACTCTTCCTATAGCCTCATGTGGCTATCTCAGGTTTGTCTATATCTTCTTCATATATCGATTGGATTTCATTTGGCTAATGTAAGCTTTCAGTTCAATGGAGATGCCAAAAACAAATAATACATGACAAGTGCAATATATTTAGAATTGGTAAGAAGATATATATGGAATACATCAAATTGTTTATATGTCTGTCTCAGCTTGGTTTTAGAAACCAGATTGGTTTTTTAGGTCTGCAGTATTCAAAAATAAAATGAAGTTTTAGGGCTTCTTTGGGGTCATGTTACAAACTTACTTTTCTTCTCTTTTTTATTTTTTAAATATATTTATTTAGTTCATTTTTTTTCTTTTTATATTTTGTTTTAAAAAATAAATTAACTTATTTTTAAAAACACTCAAAACATTTAAAAGTTATTTTAAGTATTTTAAAAATAATTAAATAACATATCAAATATGTTAAACTTCATGTAAAAATATAACAAAAATTAAAAACAATAATAATAAATGATCCCAACAGCACTTTCATAATAGTTTCTCATTAATATTTATTGCAAAAATAATCGAAATCTCTAAACAACTTAATATTATATCACTTTTCTGTTTTACAAATATTGCTCTTTCACTTCAGTTCAATCCCTAAAATTTATCGCACAACTTTGCATTTATCTGTGTTATGTATTTACACCTAAAGCATCATATTGTGATCTTATACATTATATATAAAACACTAAGGAAAAATGTTTTTTCTGACAATCACAATCCATCTGTTGTGATAAAAACCGTCGTTTTTAATGTTACAGACAGTTTAGCGACGGTTCATGCATTGTTTACGTGTTATTTTTTATAACCGGCAAGTTAACTGTCGGAAAAGTATCACATCCATCCGTGATGCAAGTAAAAACCGCAGATTAGGCATCATTTATGCATCATTTTTTATAACCAACGGGTGAACTATCAGAGCAATGTCGCGCGTCGTTGTTTTTATGTAACACACCTTGAGTCATCAGTTATGTGTCGCGTTGGTAAAAATATTCATCGCTAGACGTCGGTTTTGCCTACGTATAAATTTATAACAGTCGCAAAACAGAAGGTAAGCCATCAGAAATCTGTAGTCCAAGGAAAAATAAATAAATTATTTATTTCGTATTTACATTACAACGCCAACTATCACAACATTTAATATACAATTTCAAGTGTTTAATGAAATAACATAGCTTTCAAATAATAAAATATCTAATCAAATAATGAAATAAATAAAATACATTTACTTTAAAATATGCACATCACTGTTCACAAAAAAAATATATGTCCAAGTATATATAAACATTAAAAAAAATGTTCATCATAATCATGTTCTTCTATCTCGTCAACCTCATCCTCATTGTCCTCTGTCACTTCCTCCAATGTTTTTGTTGCCTTGTCACACTCTTCTCTGCTGCCAGAAAGAATACAGCTCAGCCTTCAGCTTGGCCTCCATGTTGACAAAGAATGTCGCAACACGCCTAGAGATCTCCTCATTTGAGTGATAGAGGTAGAAGTTGCAAATGCATTGGTGGAGGGGTGAGCAACGTAGGCAAACCTCTGTGACCTAAGCCCATAGAGTCGACCCTTCTTCCCTCCAGTAGTCTCCTTCCTCAGGTCGTACTCGAAAGGATCACGCTTGCAAATTGTAATATCTCCCGACGCCTGGGATAGGCTTTCCTTTAATTGTCAGAATCTCTACTACAAACAAAAGTAGTTACATTTAGTTAGAGCTAGCATGTATTAACATCAAACTAGTTTAGCTCGTTAATTACCTGAGTCGCAAGAGATCTGTTGTCGATCTAGAACTTGTGAGACCGCTGCCTGTGTGTACGCTCATGTAAATTGGCGGTTGAGGGTTCTCGTCCAATCTCCACAGCATGTCCATAAAATAAAATAGTTAGAATACCTGTTGAATAATTGGTTTATTTTTATTTCATGATTAGGAACATAATCGAACCAAGTACAGTTGAATAAGAATACACTTCCTCAAATAGAGTTTGGATAAGATAATTCAACAACTTCTTCCATAATCTCATGTAGTTTATCTCGTTTTCCGACTTGTTGTTTGCTTTAACGCAAACACCGAAATTAAAAGATATTTTTTCCTCAGACCAAAATCTCGTATGAAACCTGTACTCATTTACATCATAAAATTGTCAGATTTCACAATATGCATAGGACCCTAAGCAAGATCTATCAACCCCTGATCTATCACTTCAATTCTCTAATCATGAATACATATATATATATAAGAAATCATGTGTTAATGAAAAGTCTCGTATCTCATGAGGAATGAATATTTTAATTTGTCTCTCATATCTCATGAGGAATGAATATTTCAACTTTAACTCACATGCATTATAAATCACAAGGAGAAGCTATTCTCAATCTCCTTGCTCGTGTCATCATAAATTTATTGAATCCACGAATAAACTGTTCATGTATTGAAATATCATTGAAATAGTTAATCATGACACTTTTCAGATAAATGACTTAAAAATCTTAAAAATTATAATGAAAAATAAAAATTATAATGAAAAATATTTTACTCATATAAAGGGTTATAATTCGTCGTATTTGAGAAGAATATAAAGTGTCACTGCTCAAAATTTTTGATCATTAAGGTAACATAATGTGCACCTCCCCTATGCTTCACCTAACTGCAAGAAAATATAAAGGGTCAATAGTGGAACCAAATCCAACGACTCTTTAGTGGACTCTTCTTTCGTGACATAGTAGGAGTAGAGTGTCACTGTCTCTTCAATAAATATGCATGGGCTTAGTCTTCCCAATTCCCTTCATTTTATTCAAAAATCTAAAAAATAAATGTAGCTCAGTATAAATTACCAATATTCTTTATAAATGAGTGACTAATTATCTAGTCCAAATGTAATTACCTCTCAAATGGATACATCCAGCGATACTGTACTAGATCACCAATTAATGTCTTGTGGGGTAAATGTATGTGAAGATGCTTCATCGAGTTGAAGAAACTAAGCAGAAATATTCTCACAAACTTGCAAAGTTTTACAAAAATGTTTGCTTCTAGCTTGTGTATGCCGTCAAGCTTAAAACGAGATGCACATAACTCTATGAAGAATAAACTCATTTCAATCAATGGATCAAAGACTTCGCTCAACAAATAGCTAAATGTAGTTGGCATCAAATTTTTTCAAAAATTATGGTAGTCATGACTTTTAATTCCAAAATTCTTCCAGCACCCACATAAACACAACGACTCAAATTCGAAGCATGCTCACTCGTAAATTTTAGTGATTAGAGACACTCACAAATTGTTGTTCGCTGGAATAAGTAAGGGAATATTTTGTTTTACGCTTAATGAGCTTGTCAACAACAGTTTCTTGCTTTTGAGCAGCATTCAATAAATCATAAAACTTCTGACCCTCAGAATTTATGTCTCTTCCCGATGCACTTGACTCGCATAATGATGTCTTGTTCCATCAAAGATCATTTCTTCAAATCTTCATGAGTCAAATTCAGGTGGAGGATCATAACTCGTCGAAGGGGCGGAGCTGAATGTTATAGGATCAACCTCCTCATGTGAAATTCAAATCTAATAATCTCATTGAAATCCCTGAAGGTATAAATCATATTTCACTTGGTCAGGTTTTATGAGTGCCTAATTTCTTTATTCCAAATATGGACACTGACACCTAACCTCAAATAAGTAAACTGATAATTAATAAGTAGCCATCACAAATTCTTCGACACCATTCAATAACTCTTGGGTGACCCATTTTCTATGCAGATGAAGTCTGTTGTACATCCATGATCTTGATATATGAATATCCATGTGTAGCTTCAAACATGAGAATAATGAACACATTATAAAATGTATTCAGCTGAATATATTGTATTTAATTATTTTAGTAAATCTACTGGTCGATTTTTAACAACGGTGATAAAACCTGACAATAAGCAATGCATTTTAAAAGGAGAGAATGTTGTAGATAGCTTTGAAATAAAAACTTTAGGGCTAACAAAGACCAATTATTTACGAACATTTATCCAAATTTTCCTCTAATCTTATAGGACTTTCTAGCTACAACAACTCTTTCATGAGTATAATTTTTTCACATTGTCTCTACAAGTGTAAAGCCAACTCTTACTATACCACTTTTATATGATGTTTTAAAAGTCTAGTTAAAAGTTAAGAGGATGAGGATGCATAGATTTTTTATTGGCTCTTCACTCGGAGATACAATATGACAAAAATTTCTGTGTGAAGGCTAGTGTACATACAGTGGCATACAACATTAGAAGGAACCATCATAATCAATTGAGAATCAATGTTCGACCAATAATGTTTTTCGACGGACCTAATATTACTAAAATATCAAACAATCTAGCTGGTAGTAGATCTAATTTTCAAATCTAATATTATTTGTCATCATTATTACACTAAACCTTGCATGAATTTATTTATTTCATACTTTATTTTTCAAATAGAAAGCCAATCATAGTACTAAGCATACTCATCGCCGCAAACTTCATACACAATTGATTGCACAACGAATAATATGTTATTAGAAGGAGATATTTCATAAAATGTAAGAATTTTCACTACATTCTCAAGTGCAAAATCAAACTTCCACAGTTAAAATGAAAATTCACATCAAAATCTAAGTCGTCAGTTTCAAAAGGAAAATTTACCTTAAAAATCTAATTTGTATTGTCAAAATGAGAATTGTGGTAATAGAATTTAGATTTTGATGTGAATTTTCATCTTGGAACCGACAAAATAGATTTTGAGTAGAGTTTCCATTTTAGCTTTGGGAATTGACTTTGCACTGGATAATGTAGTGAAAACTCTTACATCTTGTGAAATATTTTATTTTAAGAACATATTTTCAAGTATTCAGTCAATCGCGTAAGGGGATGCAGCGCTGAGAATGTTGAGTTTTATGATTGGCTTTACAATTGAAAACAAAATGCAAAACAAATGTGTCAGTGATGAGATTGAAATAGCTACTATTGCAAACAAATTA